TCCCTTGACTGCTCCAACCCCTCTCCACACCCCCGCCCCCTGACAGGTCCCCCCAGAACTCCCGCCCCATCCAACCCTCCTGCTCCCTGTCCCTTGACTCGCCGCGCTCCCTGCCCCGCCCCCCCCAGCTCACCTCCGCTCTGGCTCTGCCTGCTCCCCTGAGCGTGCAGCCGCCCCGCTTCTCCACCCCCCACCCCCCCGCTTGCCACGAATCAGCTGTTCGGCGGCAAGCCTGGGAGGAAGGGGCGAGAAGCGGAGCGGCGCGCTCAAGGCAGCAGGCAGAGGCGGAGCAGAAGTGAGCTGGGGTGGGGAGCGGTTCCCCTGCGCCCCCTCCCCGGGTTACCTGCTGCGGGCAGCCCTCCCCACGCCCCCCAGCCCCAGCTCACCTCCGCTCTGCCACCTCCCCTGAGCGCTCCGCTTCTCCCCCCTCCCTCCCAGGCTTGCCGCGCAAAAGTCTGGGAGGGAGCGGGGTGGAGGGGAAAAGCGGCGCGCCGGGGGGAGGAGGCGGGGCCTGGGATTTGGGGAAGGGGTTGGAATGGAGTTGGGGAAGGGGCGGAGCCGGGAGTGGGGGGGCACGCGAGCACCCACCGGCGCCAGCTAAAGTCGGCGCCTATGCCCCGCGCAGCGCTGCCAATGCCCCGCGCAGCGCTGCCGATGCCCCGCGCAGCGCTGCCGATGCCCCGCGCAGCACTACCAGCGTGCTGAAGCTGCGGGGGAGGGGCTTTTGCTGCCGGAGAGGCCCCAAGTGAGCAGCTCAATCCGGCGCGGCTGCCCTGTCAGCCGCTTTTTGGTCTTTAAATAGCCGTCCGGGGGGAAATCCCGGACATTTTTAGCTTTTTACAAATTCCCCCCGGACGGCTATTTAAAGTCCCCAAACCCGGACATGTCCTGGGAAACCCGGACGTATGGTAACCCTAGCTAAACTTATTAGTTAAATTAAATCCCAAATATAGGACAAGTTGCACTACACTTCCAGGAACATTCTTAATGATAGGGAATAAATAAATATATATATGTAATTCTAATGTCTTCTCCCCTTGCAACTAAATCAGAGGTTTCACATGCATTTTAACCTGCGTTTCAGTTCCCATATGTTTTTTCTAATAATGTAATGAATGTGTCATGGATTTACTTGAATGAAGAAGCTAGCTAGCTGGTCAGCATGTATGTAATGTTGTTAAATACCTTTTTCTTAAATCATGTGACAGATATGGCAATTTCCTGCAATATCTTTGGAAGATATTTTAAAATTAAGTTTAAATAGCTTTGGCGTCCATTGATTATAAAAGCAAAGTTGTTGTGTTATTGGGGGATTGCATGCAACTTCTCTAGGGTGAGACATGGCCAATGTAAACCCCTGGCAGTGTTTGAGTTTCAAAGGACTATTTTAAACAATGTACCAAATAAAACTGCACTTTTGGGATGAACGAAGTTAGGTGGGTTTCCTAGGAAATACCTGTGGGAGAGGAGAATGCAAATTCCCACGTCTGGACTCACCCTTTTGAAGCTACACCCAGAGAAGAGAACCATTGTCTGGCCGATTATGTGTTCATGGTCTCTGCAGATCAAAGTCATAGGCTGTATAAAGGAGTGACTCTCAGATTCATGGGTGTACTTGTTCAGAGCAGAAGCTGTTATGAACTTGTGACCATAGGAAAAAACCTTTGGATAGGTTTGTAGGACTGAGCATCTTCCAGAGCCCTTGTTGGAGTTGGGGGTGATCTCTGGTAAGCTGTCAGCATGCATGTAGGTTTTTATTGTTTTTAATATTTTCTCTGTAATGCTTTCACCTTAAAGATAAAGGTGCGTGTCTAGAAAGGGCTATGTGGTAATGTGTACTTGTGGGCAGGTATGCTGTGTACAGCCTCTGAGGAGAATGCCGAGTAGGCCTGCTTAGGCAGTCTGACTTGCTGGAGAACTCTCTGTGTAGCCAGGAAACAATGTAGCCTGGAAAAACCCCAGTCAGGAGGGACAGAGACACAGGTCTCCACCCAAGAGAGGTGACCGCTATGGAGCTTGGAGTGGGTGCCCTTGCTGGACAATGGAGGGGGTATACTGGAGCAGTTGCCCTGAACTGTGACATACGTTAGTTGTTTTAAGTATGTTCAGCATTCCTTCCCCATCCTCTGCACTTTTTTTGCTTTTGAATCATGGCATATAGTTGAGATGCTGCCATCTTCCTACAAAACACAGTACATCTTAGCCTGGAAGCGAGCACAGCTTTGCAAGATACTTTGTCATGTAACTACTTTCTTGACCATGTCCCATAAGGTTTTCCTTTGCCTTAAGGCTGGAACAATCCTATGTCATATAGATCAGACTTCTCTTTTGTTCAGTCTCTTTTAACATCTGTTCATTGTCCTTGACATTAGAAAACACCATTTATGTGTTCTTCTTCCAGTTCTTCTGTCTACCTCAAATGGATCCGTTAGTGCACCAGATATTAGTATGTGTGTGGTGGGGAGGGGAGGCCCTGATGTTTAGCTTCAGTGCAGTTGGTAAACTTTTTCTGCACAAGGAGAGCTGCATTGGTTTGTTTCTTCCTGATGGGATTTCTAGAGTTTTTATTATGTTCATTATTTCTTTCTCTAGTTTCTAGTCTCCTTTCCCCCTAAAATTTCTCACTGCTGCTACCATCAATGCAGCTTCAGGGGAGCTGAGTCCAAAATGGTTGATGCTTGTGCGACCTGTGAGACTCCCATAGGATGGGATGGTAGTTTAATGTATTTATTTTATTGCACTGATTTTTACTAAGTGCTGCATCAGTTGCACAACACCTTCCATTTCATTCGCTTCATTTGATTGTAAACAATGCAGCTTATAGACTGCTTCCATATCTGCTGTTGTGTAATGTCTTTCTCACTTCTCTGTCTGAAAGTGTCTCTGTTTAGCTCCGACCTACGAGCTGGCTGTGCAGACTGGACAAGTGGTTGAAAAGATGGGAAATCTGTGTGTCAACATCAGAGTTGCGTATGCTGTCCGAGGGAATAGACGTATGTTTGATTCACTTTTCTCAGTAGATTTAGGAATAATCAATGTTAGTGTTAATATTATGTAACATTTATAGTCTAGAGGCCCCAGTCAAGACAGAGGACCCCATTTTTACTCCTGAGGGAATTCTGTGCCAAAAAAATAAAAATTCTGCACACAATATTTTAAAATTCTGCAAATGTAATTTGTCAATAAATAAATGTGGAGGTTCCAGCATAGCAGTGGGCAGCACAGGCCACTGACTGCATGTAGATGGGAGATCACCCTGCAGAACCTCCTCTCCCCCCCACTTCCCCTGCAAGATAAAGGCTAATGTAACTTCTCCATCTCTCAGTTCCAAGAGGTACCAAGATTGAAGAACAGATAATAATTGGAACGCCAGGGACTGTCCTAGATTGGTGTTTCAAATTGAAGCTGCTGGATGTGAAGAAGATCTCTGTGTTTGTGCTGGATGAAGCGGATGTTCTGATTGACACACAGGGCTTCTTAGATCAGAGTTTCCGCATTCAGAGGTAATTCTTTAGTTAGCCATCTGAATGCTGAAGGCAGAGTAAATAGTGGTTTAGTTTTCAAAATTCTCGGTTTTAACTTGCAAATCAATTTATATCTCTGAGTAATAGTTTTAGCTAAACCACTGCTGAAAAAACATTACATAATACTGTCCTAGTCAGATGTACTTGAAGGGGAAGCTAGAGAGAAACCTCCTTAAAGCCTGACTAAAAAAGTGGTTGAGTCTACCTTCCTTATTTATACACGCTTCCTATGGATGTGGCTTCAGATTTGGTACTTTCATAGCACTTGGTCAAAAGGAAATTGGAAAAAAAATTGGCTTCTCAAGCACCCTTGTTTAAAGTTGTGTTTAAAATCACCCTGGAACCCTCCAAATTCTCTTACAGTTGAGATGAAGAATTCCTTTGAATGTTAAAGGAAAGAGTGCTGGAAATTTCCCATTTCATGAACCTTTGACTTGGAAGCCTACATGAGCACTACTGTTTTATCTGCTGATCTTATAAACTCGATCTAAAATTAACATGGCTTTATGTGCATTATCAGTCCCCCCCCCCATCTCCCTCACGCTTGAGAGCGTGAGCTACAACCCATGCCACAGTTTCAAAGCAATGTCCACACCGTTACTTTTAGGGTGCTAACATGAGCCCTGCTAACACAAGTCAGTGGACCCAGGCTGGGAGGCTTGCTGCCAGATGCAGTGTAGAAATACCCTAAGAGCTTGTTTAACATTACAGCAGGGCTGTTATGATCTGTTCTGTTGCTGGATCTTAACTACTTCCATGTAACTTGATTGCATGGAGATATCGCACTGTGATAAACCACTTGTCACCTTAGACGATCCCTGTAACGGATGGAAAAAATTCGTAATCATAAGGAAAGGAGTGTTAGCACAAGAATGTGAAGGTATTGTGGCTTGAGGCTGTTATCCGATAAAAACACCACACAATTTACTAGCCTTTCTCTTCTAGAACATTACCACAGCATTGTCAGATGCTCCTCTTCTCAGCAACCTTTGAGGATACCGTGTTGCGGTTTGCTAAGCAGATCATCCCTGACCCCAATATAATTAAACTCCGCCGAGAGGAGATGACCTTGACCAATATCAGGCAGTACTACTTTTTGTGTGAGAATAAACAAGATAAATACAAGGCCCTGTGCAATATCTATGGGAGCATCACCGTTGGCCAGGCTATCATCTTCTGTCAGGTAAAGCTCTCCTGTCGCTGTTACTCATGCAGTAAAAGAGCCAGATTACTGTTTTCGTAGAAATGACAGTAAAAAATGACCCATCTTTCAATGCTGATATCAACAGAGTAAGGAGTTTTCTTATGGACAGTGCAAGAGGGCTTTTATCAGTGGGGTGTAATTTGAGGAATACTGCTCAACAATTGTTCCTCTACACTACACACACCCTTCCTCCAGACTCCTACAACTCTGCCCACAATGACTCCTCTTACCTTTAAGAGATGTCTACACCAAGCTGGGAATTACTCCTCCAGCTGGAGGGAGACAGAATGCACTGTCTTTGATTGAGCTAGCACACTAAAAATAGCACCGTGGCCGCCGCAGCTGCCCAGGTACAATCCCATCTGAGCTCTTGGGTACATGCTCAGGTAGCTATCCCATGCTGCCATCGGTGCTGCTGTGGCCACACTGCTGTTTTTAGCACACTAGCTGAATCAAAGCTTGCACAGATCTGTCTACCCGAGCAGAGATTTCTATCGCCCAGCTGCACTGTAGATGTACCTTGATGCTTTTCTGTGTTCTGGACTTAAAAGGTTCTCAGGCGTCCCAGTTGCCTACTTTGCTGGGTTCTTGTGTGACTTCTACATCAGTTTGCTGCATGCTTCGGTACGCAGTGGACTCTTTGGCACCACATATCTCACTCTTGAGTATTTGGGATTTGCAATGCCCAAGATCCCATTGCATGCTAGAACATGAAACAATTCAATTGAGAGGTGCCGTGCATGGGCTCACCACAGAGGCAGCCGGGCTCCTAAGCTTATATTTGAAGAGAGGGAAGCGGTGGTAGGCTACAGAGCCCAGACCCACCACAGGCTCTTCAGGCTTGCTTGGTGGCTGACTTGGGTCAGACCTTTATAGAATGTTTATTCAGTTTCACTCCTGACTGTAGTCATCTTTCAAAAAGAGTATTACTTTCCATCTCTCCCAGCAGTAGATGAAGCATATTACCCTGGATTCCACAAAGACACTTACAATAAGCCACACTTTATAGCTGTTTGTTTTTGGTACCCTGCTATTTATTCTGAGTATACTTATCCTAAATATGGTTTCTCATTATACTTCATGTTTAGGGCCCTACCAAATTCATGGTCATGAAAAAAGCGTCACGGAGTGTGAAATCTGGCCTTTTGTGTGCTTTTACCCTAAGCTATGCAGATTTCACGGGGGAGACCAGCGTTTCTCAAATTGGGAGTCCTGAGCCAAAAGGGAGTTGCGGGGGAATCACAAGGTTATTTAAGGGGTTCGCGGTATTGCCACCACCAGTGCCCAGCTCTGACGGCAGCGCCCCGCCAGCAGCAGCGCAGAAGTAAGGGTGGCAATACCATATCATGCCCCCCTTATTTCTGCACTGCTGCCTTCAGAGCTGGACAGCTGGAGAGCGGCAGCTGCTGACTGAGGGCCCAGCTCTGCAGTGCAGAAGGAAGGTTGGCAATACCATCCCATGCCATCCTTACTTCCATGCTGCTGCTGCTGCTGCTACTGGCGGCAGCTCTGCCTTCAGAGCTAGGCTCCCGGCCAGCAGCTGCTGCTCTCTAGCTGCCCAGCTCTGAAGGCAGTGCCGCCACCAGCAGAGGCGCAGAAGTAAGGGTAGCAATACTGCACCCCCCCCTGCAATAACCTTGCAACCCCCCCCCCACGCTCCTTTTTTGGGTCAGGGCCCCTACAATTACAACACCATGAAATTTCAGATTTAAATAGCTGAAATCATGAAATGTTTGACTTTTTAAATCCTATGACCATGAAATTGCCCAAAATGGGCCGTGAATTTGGTAGGGCCCTATTCATGTTCTTTGCTTTAGGATCCAACGGGCCATGTGCACTTACTCTTAAAGTTCTCTGGTTTAGAGCAATCAACTGAACTTTACCCTTTGTGTTCATGAACATTGGGAATGCTGAGTCACTCGCTGTGTTAGACGACACTGTCCCAACCTGTGTTCTGAAGGGGCTAGATGAAGTGTCATTAGCCTCTCTAATTTCCTGCCCCTTATTACATTTGGTGCCAATTGACTTTTCCCACTCTGGCTCTCTGCCAGCACACACATTATTATATTAGGTATACTGAGAGGTTACAGATAAGTCAGAGCCCCCGGCAGGATTCCATTACACCAACTGCTCTTTGTCTATTTCACCTGCTGTTGTTGGCCCAATTTGTTGTCCTTTTGGAGTCCTGACCTATATTGTGTTGTCAGGAAACATATCATCAGCTCCTAACCAGTTTCTTCCTCCAGGCTCCTGTGTGAGACTGGCTGCGCCCAACTCTCACAGCAGATCCCAGAGAAAATCTTTCCCTCCCTGGTTTTGGTGAAAGGGGAAGAGACTAGAAAACCAGCTGGAAACCTGCATAAAAGAATTAAAGGAAACAAACAGAACTGAGGCTTTTAATCTTTGTATTTTCTAAATTCAGCTACTTAATGTTGTAGTATTAAAAAAAGAAATGAAAACCCAACCCCTGTGTAGGGCAATTTTGATAATCAAACACTTCAGGTTGTTTAAATGTAAGGCATGCACACAAGAATCCAAGACACAATTTCTTTATAGGAACTTTAGTTCTCTATCTACTGTATTTAAAGGCGAGGGTTCAGAATTTCACAGTAGTAACCACTTAGCACCAGCTGAATACATCCTGTTTAAGTGGAATTCATGCTAGTTCTGTCTTCGCTAAACAGTAGGCCATTCCCATTCCCTTGTATTCAGCTAAATCTTTCCTGAAGCCATCCTAATTTAATTTGTCTCCGTTTGGTCTATAGACGTGGTCCATAGCTTTAACTCATTTTTTGTTTTCCAGCTGGTTTCAGCATGATCACTTTTGCTCTTTTTAGAAACAGAAATAGCCTTAGAGCAAAATCCATGGACATCTCCCTATATCCAGTATTTCTCAAATAGTGGGGCCTGAGTGGGCTCCCAGAAAAATTGATGGTGTGCTAGTAGGACTTGGACTGTGAGCCCACAGGTTCTGCCTGTGAAGTGCCAGACAGACATTCCTCTGAAATGCCATGAAAAAAGGAATAAAGTATTTTAGGGAATACATAAGTATGATGGTTGCAAGTGATTTAAAGGGGAGGGAATGTGTTTCCTCCCAAGGAGATTTTATCTCATGTACTTTCTTCCTGCATTTGTTTTTAGACTCGTAGGAATGCCAATTGGTTATCGCAGGAACTGAGTCAGGATGGGCACCAAGTGTCTGTCCTGAGTGGGGAGCTGACAGTTGAGCAACGGGCAGCTGTAATCCAAAGGTTTCGTGATGGAAAAGAGAAGGTCCTTGTCACAACTAATGTCTGTGCTAGAGGTATTGTCTCTAGCTAAACCATTTCTTTCTCAAAGTATTACAGTACTGAGAGCTTTGTTTTTCGAGATGGGGTACACACAGGGCATGCAAGCTTATTATTGTTCTGCATTACGGAATCCACCACGCACACCGAAAACCCACTGTGGAGTGCAGAAGATGATGACAGCTGCTTGGAATCCTGTAATCTCTCGCATATAGAGACCTCATCATAAGCTTTTCTGCTACACTGTTGTCACACACAGTGTTGGAGTCCAGTGGTCAATTGGTGGGGTTTTGTGGATTTCTAGATATAAATTCAACGAGTGTTTGGCAGAGCAAATGCTGATTCCTATAGCTTGCAGAAATAACACCAGACTGATTTCTTATTCCAGCCAGATGAAGTTAAGAATTGTAATTCTGTGTATAACCCCTTTGTATACAGCTCAGTGCCTGCTTCTTAGGATGGTGTTGCTTGTAGTGACTTTGAAGCCTTATCTACGCTAGCAAACACTTTATAGCCATAATTCACAGCTGGTACCACACAGTGGTATAAATACCGGAGTCCTGTTTACACTACAGCTTCCACAAATGGCGAATTACAGTTGTGAAATTGCTAATGTAGACAGTCAAAATGTGCATGTTTTACAATTGCCCTGTCTGAAAAGTCAGTCACAACAAATATAGTATTCCGAGGTAAAGGCAGATTTTCTTCAGTAAATTGATCCTTTGGGTAGAGATTTTCATCCACAAAAACCCATTGAGATAGTGTTGTGTATAAAAATTATACAATATGCACTCGTTAAACTAAAAGACCTTATTAGAATGTTGTTAGAAAAAATAAATAGTTGAAAGTCAGGGAGTTCAAAGTTGAAATTCCATAAACAACTTAACTCTGTTCTCATTCTCCATCACAATGTGTATAATCTTCCTAGCAATGCAGAGAAGTTTTCCTGGTTTTGTTTTAAAGTAGTTTAACATTTTAAAATGACCAATGAAAAAAGTA